GCAGCTGCCTATACATTCTCGCATTTAAAAACAGGTAAATATGATTTCCCTGCCAGAAGTCTACTTACATTCCCTTCCTTAGTGAACACATCCTAAAGGCCCATCCTTGAATATGCATGTGCATCTCTTAGTGAACATGAGTTTTAATTAAATATCTTCCTGCGTGTTTGCAATGAGAACGAAGTCAAAGCCTGCATTAATGCATTTTTAATGTATGTATTTGGTGGTAAAAAAATAACTAAGACCTGTGACCCTCTTTGGGGGAGTAACCCGAATTACACAGGGTGTTTGCAATGGGAAAAGGAATTGTCCCTCTCCTGTGTGCCAGAGGTGTGCAACTGCGAGGTGATGGTTCTTCCCGTGCGCAGAGGAGGAGGGAAGAAAAAACAGTATACTCGTAGTAAATATTTCAGTTTGTTTGTGCTTTGGAGTTAATGAGTAAGTTGGAAATAGATAGTAGTTTGAAACCATCAGCTTTTGTCCTTTTAACCTTCAGTGGTACTAGGTTAGCTGTTGACTGTCTAGTGCAAGCTGATGCACCTGTAACACTCCTGTATCTGTCCTGAATCATTTGCTTTTGCTTTTTTTTGGTTAATGTTTCCTTTACTTTAAGCCACTGCTGTACAGTTAAACTGAAAGTCGGTCTTCAGTTGATGGCTGTGTTGTGACTTCTTGTCATGAAGACGTTCTGTTTCTGGAACATCCGTGTAGCATCAGGGTGAGACCAAGGAGCTTTACGGAGCACCTGCTAAGGTGAGAAAGCTTTGGTGTGTCTGTGTGTGCGTAAAGCAGAATATGGTGTCAGTCTGTGGTCAATGGTGAGAAAGGAGCAGTTCCAGATGAGAGAAGGTCTTTTCCCAGGAGAAAACGATCCATAATGCCAATAGCTACACTTCAGCTCTCTTAAAGTAACAGAAAATGAGATGACTGATGACTTGACATGATTTTTCCAGCAGTTGCTCTGCTCCTCAGCTATTAGACAGATGGAGGAAAAGCCTGGCAAAATGTGTTTCTGAGGAGCCGTTTCACACCCCAGCGAAGCCCAGCCTGTGATCTCATTGCTAACGATCTCTGGTAGCTGGCATAGGTTATCTCAGAAAGTATACTGAATTCTAGAAATAGCAATAAGCCCGCAGAGTGCTGCCTGCTGTCTGTGATCCCGGCAAGTTTCTGTTTATCTTTCGGTACAGAGGAGTTGCCATGTAAATGATTAATTAGAAATTCCCTTTATAATTTGAATTGCAGCATTTGGAGTGGCGATCGCATGGTAGGGTGCCTTTGTTTAACGGTCTGCATTCTGCAGATGTTGTTTTGGAGTATGGGTTCCAAGTCTTGCCAACTAACTTTTCTTTATTTGTACTGAGTGCATTTGAAGTTGCATCATTTCCTCGGTAAGAACAGTTTTATTTTTGACTGGAGTGTTTGTCAGGTGGGAGAAATCCTAAATGTGAGTGCTCTCTGGTGGTAAAGATTTCTGCTTCAGCTTTCTGATTTCTGCAGTGTATTTTCCAGTGGCAAGTGGATGTGAATATAGGATATCTGGACTTAAGGATATATATTCTTTTTCAACTCCCTAGAAATAAAAACTACAGAACAGAGTAACAGCCTTTTTCTTTCTTTGGCAGTCTTATTTTCTAGACAGTAATTTCTGTCCCTTTAAATGATTTATATTCTGTGACCTACTGGTTTCTATTTTCTCATTATCAATCCATGTTTTAACAAGGTAATAAAAACTTCTCATGAAAGAGCTGATGTTCTTCATCACAATAACACACAAGGATTAAATACTGTGACTTTCTTTCTGGCTGCTGAGCTAGATTTCAGATGCCACAGTAATAAGTGGAAGATTCAGAGACAGTGATACAGAAATCATTTGAATAGCATCATTACAGGGAAATCTTTTCTCCTCCAAGTTGCAGCACAAGAAGCTGTGAATTTAATGATATGTACAAACTGAGGTCTGACCGTGGGGGTGTCGACCCCCAGGAGTAGGTGCAGGGCTTCCTTTTATCAAGTGTGCTGTGAATGGCTTTTAATAACAAAAATCCACTCCTAGGTGTTATACACTCGGTACTCAAATGATTATGCCATCCTTTCTGATGAGCTTTCCCTTGATGGAGTGCAACACCTGGATCGATGAGCCTTTCCGAAAAGCGCTGGGTAGTCTGGTTTTGTGACCTCGCCTTGCAGAAAAATAGCTAATTTAACACAGCTTGTACCTCCCAGTTTGGACTGCTGTCGTTGGTTGTTTTCTTAAGTTTTCATGAGTTCTTCTCGGGCAAGGAAAACCAAGAATCTCACACCGAAGCAATGCAGCTAGGAAAACAGCCGCTGCTGTTCTTGGCCTGCTGCTGTGCTGAGCTGCACCATCTGATGAAAAGAGGCTTTATCAGCAAGGAGGGGCGAGGAGCGACGGCTCCTTTTAGGAACATCTAAGCACGGCTCTGGAATTTTAACTCCGGAGCTAAAAATTAAAAAAAAAAATTGGAGAGAGAGGTAAATAGGGATGTCAGTTGTTCATAAACTCTGTATCCTTAAAGCCAAGCTTGAGAGATGCCTATCTGTGAAGCCCAGGGATGGATCCTTTTGCCCACAGAGATTGAAGACATGACTCACCACGGTCTAGTGAAACCTTTTAAAATTTGACTCGGAGGCCAAATGTGAGATCTGTCGTCGAAGCCCGGAGCTGTCAGGGAAGGAGGCAGGCAGTATGTTGAACCACTGCACGTGTCGGTGTTGCAGTGGGAACACCTCTGCAGCTGAGCTGTGCCCTGGGCGAGGGGCTCCTCGCAGCGGTGACGCTGACGGCCAGCGGTGGGACAGGCTGGTGGAGCCAGATCTGTAGGTTCTGCTTCCGAGGTGGTCGGGGACACTGGACTGTCAAGGGAGGAAACTTAAACTGTGCTCTGCTACTGAAAGTTTACATAATTCATTACTTAAGGAAGAGGTCAAAGTATTGGGTACTGTGATGGTGACTTAGCACGACACTTCAGTAGGGATGTCTTCTTCTCTTTCTTTCTTTCTTCCTTTCTTTCTTTCTGCGAAAGGAACCCCCCTTAACCTCTCTGTGCTGACCATGAATCCTGTGACCATGTCTCTGGCAGTACAATGGGGCTTAAAACCTCCTCCAGAAACTGCTGTATCTTTATTTTTATCATTAATAGCTCCTTCCGTGCAGTGACTTTTGGGGAGCAGTCTATATGTTCTCCATCAGGCAACTTTTGGATGGCTCAGCTCCAAAAAAATGGGCTGGATTCTGCTGATTTTGATGTCTTTGTAATGGTTTCCATTGCATATGTATGTCCCAGTGTGATTTGATCTCCTTAACAGAAACACTGTTGTGTGCGTTTGGTTTTTCTTAAGCTCTCCTACGTATATGTAGAGTCCCTCGTGTGATCCCGAGAGGGCAGAAGATGAGCAGCCTGGTGGTATACAATATCTTTTGCACCCACGAGTGTCTTGCATGTTTAGTGTCTTCCAAATACCACAATCCCCAGCTGCTCTGTGCTTCAAAGAATTAAAATTAGGGATGGCAAATGGCGGGGAATGAGCGTGTGAGGGTTCCTGTGTACCAAGACTGTCTTAAGCATTAGGCTGTGATTCTGGATTTCATACCAGGCGTGCATGCCAGTTCTCGGTGTTGTTGCCTGTGCATTACCCATCATTTTTGTTGCAATAGTTAGCTGCTGAGCTGCAGTTGGTATTGCTAATTTATAATGGCCTTATCTTTTCTGAAATGTATTTGGTAGCTTTCAAAGAGCATATATCTCTAAAATATAAAACATCTTTACATTTTAAGCTCACTAATGTTTTGGGAAATGCTTACCTTCAGTCAAAATTGAATGCAGGAATGAAAAGACGTTTTGCAATTCTTGTGGGTTTTTTTAATTGAGGTATTTCTGGAGGAAGCTGGAATTAGAGGCAAAATCTCTTTTAGATAGTGAAATGCTGGTTCCTAGATTGTTTCTTGAGTTTTATTACACCTGCTAAAACTAACACTGCCAAGATGCTGCAGAAGATTCTCAAATGAACAATAGAAAATGTCAAGCCTGTCACCACATGGGGGTGGTAATAAATTCGATAAAGTAATGCTAGAATTTGTGCCGTAGCCCATCAAGGATTAGGAGAGCCCTTGTACTCTGTAGAGGTGCTATGGTGCCATCTAATGTTGTAAGATTTAGATACAGGGAGCAGACAGGTATTTAATGGTGGAAATGCCATAGTTTGCACATTGATCTCTATATCTGGTGTCGTCCTTTCTCCTCCTGAGAAGCAAATGCTGTATGAATTCTTCAGCTGTTAATCTAAAATTCTTTCTCTGCTCTTCTGTTAGATAACTCTTGATAAAATGTGAATTTCTTTGGCAACATCTTCTAACTTAAACACCTTTTTTTTTTTTTTTTTTTTTTAAACAAGCTTCAAGTTATTTTCTGTCTTATTTGCAGAAAGAATAGTAAGGACCAGGTAGGGTTCTGGAAAGGTGTAGTTTAGGGTTGTGTTCACCCATTCTTAAAAAGCTTTCACTTCTGGTTTAGCAGCAGTGATGATATCAAAGTGCCTTCTAGCGAAAAGGATGGATTGGAAGCTAATTGCTAGGGCTGAAAGGCTGCAATTTGCTTCTTGGCTTGTATCTTTGTTTACTTTCTTGCAAATGTTATTAGACCTCTCAGTGAGTGGCTTCAAAACTTCTGCTTCTCTGGCCTGAGCTGGCCTGTGGACAACTGTAGAATAAGAAAAAAGAATTTGCCTTTAAATCCCCTTTATGAAGCAGGTTATATGGACTCATCACGAACTCATCTTATTGTCAATTGTAGCAACAGTAAATTATATTACCTTAAATCTTGCTAACGACTTTCTTAGAAACATTTGTTTCTGGCAGCATGTTAATGGCTACAGAAATACCTGGATATGCAGAAAGCCAATTGATTGCATTGGCAAAGCAGAAGTTTGCAGTACTCAGAAATACAGTCGGTGTTTGTACCTCGGTAATCTGATCGGTCATGCATCCGTAAGTGAAATAGCAGTAGAAATTTCCTTTGTAGGTGGTAAGATTCAAAGCTAGCACTAGTCCTTAGTCCTCGTAACATCAAGTCTCTACGTAATGTGCTAACGTGCCAACTGGGCCACGCTGGTCAGACAATGTCAGTGTTTTATTGTGGTATTTCAGTACGATGACGGATTGAAGAGTTCACCTGATGAAACGAGTAACTTGCTTGGAAGACACATTCTGAAGCTCTATGTTTGACTCGTTCCCTTTCTCCCTTTTGTCTCATCCCGGGTAGGTTTGAAAAAGGACGGATTTATACATTTATTGGGGAGGTGGTCGTCTCCATGAATCCTTACAAAAACTTGAACATCTATGGGCGTGACATGATTGAGCAGTACAAAGGAAGGGAATTGTACGAGAGGCCTCCTCACCTCTTCGCAATTGCTGATGCTGCTTACAAAGCGATGAAGAGGCGATCAAAAGACACATGTATTGTAATATCAGGTAAGCTGAAAGAGCTTTTCATGGTGATGAACACTTGATCTTTGTGAAATTCTAGGCAGCAGAAGAATAACGATCTGGCTAATGACAGCATTTTATAAAAGAAAACTTCATTAATCTTAAAACTGCTTATTTGCATTTGAATCTGTGTGTGGAGACCTTAACAATTATTTCTTATCTAATTCAAGAACTGGTGTCAGTCATTAGTTTAATCTCTGCATGCAAAGTGATAACTTGAGTCCTCTGCTTGCTCTGCCTGTGTGAATGCAGATCAGTGAGAACAGGGTTCCTGGCCCTCTTTAGAGAACTGCTGATTTTTGTCCCTCAGATGTTTTGTTCTCTGTTTTGATGGCCGGACAGATTCCTTGTCGTGGCTCTAACAGTGGGAGCAGGGCTGGTACCATGAACGGTCGCTATCCGGATCCTGGCACTTCGTTTCCTTGCTGTTCCCGTGCTTTAGCAGCTCTGAAAAGCGAGAGCCCCGGGATGATGTGCGGAACAGTAGCCTCTTGTATTGCAGTTCCCGGCACTGCTGCTAGCCAAGCCTCTGCATGCCAGTCTTTCTCCTCTAACAATATTCCTTTTGATCCTCTGTGTGCCAGGCCTTTTACCGACCTGTGAAATCTTACATCATAACTGCTTCTAAGTCAGCATAGCAGCAACAGCCAGGCAGGGTTATGGCTATATTTAAAAAAAATGTTCAAAGTGCACACAAATAAGATTGCTTTAAAAAAAAACCCCAATAACAAAAAAAATCCAAACGCTTTCTGGGTAGAGTTGTTCAGTGATTTGTTTTGCTTTTTTTTGATCTGTTGTGTCACCTTTGTATTTATGCCCGCAGGTGAAAGTGGGGCTGGGAAGACAGAGGCCAGTAAATATATTATGCAGTACATCGCAGCCATTACCAACCCCGGTCAGCGAGCAGAGGTGGAAAGGTAAGGGCATTGCAGAAAAATAAAGTGAAATTGCTTTGTTTCTGAATCTTCATTTACCTAACTTCTTCAGATACTATTTTTTCTCTGGGAAATTTGCGATATTGATTGCTAAAATCATGTAGAAAAGTTTATATTGAAAGCTTGAACTTTCAAAGTAGAACCAGTACCTAGAAATCATGTTTCCTGTGGCAAATCACCTGAAATATGTGTATGTTAGAATAGCATGTAGAGTGTGAGGAACATAGTCCATGACATTTCAGGCTTGCATGCTCTTGGATTGCGAAATGTACCTGTCAGCCTCAGAGTAAAAGTTTTTGAGCAAAGAGTGTGACAGACTTAGTACTTACTCCAACAAAAATTTTGAAAATATTTGCAAAAGAGTTCAAGAAATTGCTTTCAAAACTTACCTATGTAAAGGAACGGAATTTTTTATGCTCTTTTCAGTGGGAAGATCTGGGCTTTTGTTCCCATTTGCTCGGCTCCTACGAATGTTACTGAAAGCTCCCAGCTGATTTCCCGTGGGATTGCTGATGTCATACACATCTGCCCAAATCTGTCATCAAAAGGCAACTCTGCTGTTACTAAATTCTTCTCTAGAAATGCCTGCAGAAAAAAAAATTCATTGAGTATACAAGTCATGACTTACCTATTCCCTTTTCTGTGTATCCCTATTATAGAGTGAAGAACATACTGCTGAAATCCAACTGTGTGTTAGAGGCCTTTGGCAATGCCAAAACAAACCGTAATGACAATTCCAGCAGGTTTGGAAAATATATGGATATCAACTTTGATTTTAAAGGAGACCCGATAGGTGGGCATATCAATAATTACTTACTAGAAAAGGTAAGCCCCCTCACTTTCAGAGCTAGAGGCTTTGGTGTAGTTACTTTTGTAAGAGGTGCTTTGCCATTAGAAAGTTTTCCTGTCATACGTGTTATGTCAGCAGGTGATGTATGAGGCATAGAATCTCATTAAATCTAGGGCTTAATTTTTCTTCCAGAGTCAGTCTAAGTAACTGAAATGCTGCTGAAGCACTGGCACTGCCCTGTTTCTTTAAACCTGCTTTCAGAGCTCACCATGTAAGGGACTAGTGTTACTCAAAAGCTTATGTGCATGTACTTTGTATCCAGAATAAAAGCTGAGAGTAATTTAACATCTGCAAAACTCCTTCTTTATAAGTTCCCGCATTGAGATCTCCTTGGTGAATAAAAGGCGAAGATATCTAGGTCTGTAAGTAGCACGGTACGCTTCAGAAGTGTTGTTCTGGAATAATGCCACAACCTTGTGTGATCTTTTAGTAGCTTTGGTTTTATATATTCCAAGTGATCCTAAGCATAATTATTTTTTTTCATGTCATGAAGTGGTGGCTGAAAACATTGGAATATGTAAAACTGTAGAGAAACCAGGCTTGGTCTATTAACAGTTCTTGTTATATGTGACACACACGTCTGGCTTTAATTTATGTGTTTGACCGCATCTGCTAACATGCTTTTTTGTTTGTGTTTTTTGCTTTTCCCATTATTTCCCTGAAGTCTATTTTCAGAATAAACACTTTATTTAAAAAAACAAAACAAAACAACAAACCCAAACATTCAACATGTGATACTTTCATGCAAAAAAATGAGTGGGGTTGCAGCTGCAGTGACTTAAATCCTGATTATTTATTTTGTATTCTTGACTCCTACCAAGTTAAATTTGTTTGCATTTTGAAAGCAGCTGAGGTTCAGGTCTGAGCACAAGCCGTTAACAGACAGTCACTTTGCACCGCAGCAGGAGCACGTGCTTTGTCGCTCTGCATAGCTCAAACTTGTAGCATAAAATAAGGATACGTTGCTTGGTGATTGAATTTCTCCTGCATTTAGCTTTTTGTTTGGTTGGTTTTTTTGTGCTGTTTTACGCTGGTTTGGAATGAGTGCTCTGAAGGTGGAGCTATCGCTTGCTCCCTAAAACAGTGCCCTCGGGTTACAGCAGGGCGTTCGCTTGTACGCTGGCTGGGTGCTGTTGGTTGTAGACCTGGTCACCAAAAGACCCTGACTATGGCCCATGGAGCGTTTGTTTGTAGTCACAGAGTCCTGTTTGTCATTTCCAGCGATTAAATAACTCTCAAACTAAAATGACGTTTTGCTTGACTTTTCCATGAAAGCAATTCTGCAGGTGCCACATGGGACTGGAAGTAGGACATTGCAGCTGTTACGCAAGCTGGTCTTTTTGATTATAGACTTCAAACTCCGTGGTCATGCCTAGCTAATAATGTTCATAACAGACTTCTTGTGAGAGAAGATTAGTTTGGAGGTGTCCTAGCAGTGGCAAACTGGTGTCTAAGGGGAGGTGCTGGGGAAGCAGGCCCTCCGCATCCAGAAATACCTACCTTTTGTATTTGGTTTCCCCACAGTCTCGTGTGATCGTGCAACAGCCGGGAGAACGAAGCTTTCATTCTTTTTACCAGGTTTGTATTTGTTTGCTGAAACAAATGACTTTTCTCAAGTTTCCCAGACATGATAGGCAAAATATTTAAGGTTTTCACCCTCTCGTGTGTTTTGCAAAGGGTTCCCTTGTTGTTGGCATCTTGGGTGATCTTGGGTTCTTTAGCTCTTTGAGGAGGCCTGGTCTGCGGAAGGAACATGGGAAGGTTTATTTTTTTCTATCCTCCAGTCCCATGTTAACACATTTGTAAACTTAAAGGGAGGCTAACTAAACATATATGGTAGATACTGGACTTTGACTCACTGTTTTATTTGTAATAAGTCTAATCCCTCTATTTTCTTTGAGACTTTTAGCCCATATGGAAGTAATTTTATGACACCAAGTTGACTTTCTTTTTTCCTTTGGGTTGTTTTTAATGTCTTCCATGTTGTATGGTAATTCCCTTGTGTGTCCTTTGGGGGAAGCGATTGGCCTATTAGTATAACCTTTATTCTCAGTTTTGCAGTGAGGGAAATGTAGGTTTATTTATTTTTTTCCCACTTGGTCAGTACTCCATGATGGCGTGTTAGCGCCTTTCTCATGAACGTGTCATTTCCGTATTGGAAAGTCTCTGTGTGTAGCAGAGAAGGTAAATGTGCTTGCCAAGACACAGCTGTGGCATGTCACAGATGTAAACGTGTCTGCTTTGTGAAGAGGTTCAGGCTTGTTTTCTAAACATCATGTCACTTAAAAAGGCAGTCGTTGAGGCAAGCTCTTTCTGGTGGTCAGAGTCCTACAAGGATGCAGACCGTGTATTTAGCAGATGTCGTGCTTGTGACTCCAGATCCTGTAGCTGATTCTTCTGTAGCAGTAATTTACTGGTTTTATGATTTTTTTTGTTTGTTTGTCAAGCAGATAAGAATAATAAGAAACAGTAAAAGGAAAGATTTATTTTTTTTTCATTCACTGTTTCTTAAAATACTCTTTGTACAGCTCCTCCAGGGGGGTTCTGACCAGATGTTACGTTCTCTACATCTTCAGAAGGATGCATCTGCATACAACTATATCTGTCCTGGAGCGCAGCTAAAGGTAATATGTAGTAAGAGAGACATCACCTTTGTTAATAAATGTAGGCATAGATATTTGACCCCTTACCAGTGACAGGCTTTTCCTGCTTCATAATGGGTAACTTAAGCTGCTTTCTGGACCAAAAAGCCATAAGGACTCATTTTTTTTACAGTAGGAGCATTTAAGTTACTGAAGCATTCATTCTTCATGTCTGACTTATCCTCAAGAGGATCTCTGAGCAGGAAAGAAGGGAACAAACCCATAAAGTTTTTAGGACAACAAGATCCAGAACACTTTAAATACATCTGGAGTTGTCCCTAGGGTTGTCCCTGTGAAGCAGGGTCCAGACAAAAGGCTCCCTGGTTTCCTAATTGCTTTCTTGAGATGCTCTTTGGCAAACAAACCCACAGACCTTCTCAGATGCATTTATCAGTTTCTCTAGAAATCCGCAGTGAAAACAAATCCAGATGATTGGGAGGGGAGGGGGTGAGAATGATGGTGACCAGAAATTTACTGTTGGTGCTCTGCAGCTTCTACTCTGGGGGTCTGTGACTGCACTACTTGTAGCTGTTCTGATTTTTTTTTTTTTTTAATGAATCACTTCTACTCTTTCACAATAAATTCCGCTGGGAAAGTACTGAACTATTTAATCGTGCTGTGATGGTCTGTAGCTTGTTGCTGCTAGTATACATGTGTGTCCAACGTGGAGTTCGGCATACAAGTGTACAGTATGGCATTAAATAAGTTGAGAAATCTCATTTCTTGCATCTGAAAAATAGCAAAGTACATATCCATTTCCCATGGGCTTGCCAAATCTTTGCTGTCTCACAGTTGACTTCCATTAAGCCCATGTCCCAAACGTCTCTTTCCCCTCAGTGTTCCATCAACGATGGTGCAGAGTTCAAAGCAGTAGCTGATGCCATGAAAGTGATAGGCTTCAAGCAAGAGGAGATTCAGACTGTCTACAAAATTGTGGCAGCCATTCTTCACTTGGTAAGCTCTCTGCCTGTAGGTATGAGCGGGCTGTTCTTCATGAGGGGTCAAGCAGTATATTTGTACTTCCAGCAGCTCTAATTTTCTTGCTGCAGAAGCAGTTGGAAGATCTGTTGGCTGGAAAAGTGTATACACTTTACAGCTTCCAGCGGTGAGTGAAATTCCTTGATGAAATAGGACACTGCAGTAATGATGGAAGATCACATTTATTCCTGCATATTCCAGATCCCAAACCAGACCTATCATGAATTACTGGGAGCTGTTAAATGTTCTGAAAAGGAATTGAAGGAATTGTTTGGGTTTGGCAGTGAGGGGGTAGGGAGCTCTCACCTCACTATCCTTCTGTCCACTTTTACCCTCACACTCACCATCACCACTGTGATTTTGCTGGAGGGATGGTACTTCACTGTGCAGTGGAGGCTCGAGCACAGCCAGATCCAGGAGACCTCTTAATTCTCTGTATTCTAAGGAAATCCGTCCTTCACCCGTATTCTGCGGGGACCCACAATCTCCTCCCCTGCGCAGTGCCCTTCTACCTCAGCTCTTGTGTTTCCTTGAGGAGAGAGGCACCGCCGGTGGGCAGGAGGAAGGTAGCAAAGAACATGGTAGGTTTTTCCCAATTTTTTTCTCCTCCTTGGAGTAGTTGTGCCCCAGTGCTGGGGAAGGGAGTGAAGGCAGAGTCATGCCGTGCAGACAGGATGTGAGCTTGCTCCTGCACGTAATGCAGTAGTATTGCTGCTTAATCCTGGCACTGCGGGTGTTCGGTACCGAAGCTGTTGTGGCGGTGTGCTGTTGTCCGGTCCTGTTAGCTGTGCTGACTTGTCAGCTCCCCCAGAATATTCACGTTACCTTTGTGGGCAAGAGCATTACAATAAAAACTGCAGCTTGGCGTTTGTGTTGCGAGCTGCAGTAAGGATGAAACACTACATCCAGCCTTTGTATACTTAATGTAATTTCCCATCACTAGACTCTGAATCTTGAGACAGTGTTTGGTTAAACCTCTGGAAGTGTTTGATGTAATTTTTTTTGCCCAAAAGCTCAGTTGAACGCTGCTTTTCTTTGAGTCAGGCTTTGCTGCTTCCACTGATGCTGGGCCGTTGTGGGTAGGTGGATACGCAAGGCTCACCCTTCTAATGTGTTAGGAGATTTACTGACTTGAATAGCAGGTGGAATATGGATGAACTGATTCATTTTAATAAAAGACAGATTGAGAAACCTAGTTTCTTGCTACTTATTGCAGGGGAACTTGAAGTTTTCCGTGGATGGTGATACGCCGGTAATAGAAAACGGCAAGGTTGTGTCGATCATCGCAGACTTGCTGTCAACAAAATCTGACATGGTGGAGAAGGCTCTTTTGTTTCGAACTGTAGCTACGGGTCGGGATGTCATTGACAAACAACATACTGAACAAGAAGCCACCTATGGCAGAGATGCCTTTGCAAAAGTGAGTTTAAATTTCCTTTCTCTGCGTCTGATTTGATATGTGACAGTAACTCAGATGCATTTCTTAGGCTTTTGCCTTTTGGTTGAGTTGTAATTAGTGCAGCAAAGAATGGTGATGCCTGAGGAAGGCATTCAATATTGAATTACCTTCGTAATTGCACATTTTTCAGTGCTCAGGTCCCAGTAGGGTTCCTGGGTGGATCAATAAGTATAGTGCTTGCTGGGAGATGGGAAGTCTGTACTTCATGTGGCTTTATTTCTGCATGTGGGCAGAGCAGAGCATCCCTACCTGCCCTGGCTATGCCACAGCATGCGCCACAACCAGCAGTGCTTGCAGCGCGTGAAAGAGGGGAAGGAGCTGCAAGCCTGGCTTGCTGGCGTCTGCAAAAGGAATACACTGTACAGGGCTGAATATCTTTGGAAATACAGGGGGTTTATTTCATTAGCGGTTAAATTCAAAGGGTAGAGAGTGGAACAGTGACATCCAGAATCTAGGTTGGAAACCCAAAATGCTATCTTTTTTTTGGAAAGATGGATACCAATGACCGAAGGAGTGACAACTGTCCTTCCTTTGCTAAGAAATCACAGAATCATAGAATCACTTAGGTTCGAAAAGACCTCTAAGATCATCAAGTCCAACCGTTAACCCAGCACTGCCAAGTCCACCCCTACCCCATCTCCCTAAGCCTCACATCTACACGTCTTTTAAATCCCTCCAGGGATGGTGACTCCACTACTTCCCTGGGCAGCCTGTTCCAATGCTTGATAACCCTTTCTGTGAAGAATTTTTTCCTAATATCCAATCTAAACCACCCCTGGCACAACTTGAGGCTATTTCAGATCAAATGATAAGGGAAGAATAGATGAAGTTATGAAGATCCTTGATCACTTTTTTCCTAAGATTATATGTTTGCACAGCTTCGCAGTGCATTTTGAACACGTAGACTTTGAAGATACCTATGCCTGCAGAACATTTTCTATTTGAAAGGTGGACAAGAATATTTTACTGCCATTGTGTTTGGCTGTTAGGTTTCTGTAACTGAACTCTCACTTGCTTTTCAATATTGTTAAATTATTCTCAAGTATGGAAGTTATTGGGCAACTGAAAAGCAGACTGGTATCAAATTAGGGGAACCGCCGTACCTAGTGACCTCGCTAGGATTTAGACTTCATGCAAATGAGTTTTGGAAGAAAGAAAAAAACTGTTTTCATAGAATATTTTCTTCTTGTCAGTAGCTGTTCACTTTTAGCAGAATGTTATCTGTAGTGTTTGTGTGGTTAGGGCAGGATCTTGAATTAAGCTTTGTAGCACCATGCGTTGGATTTACCAGAAAGAACTGAGACAGATGCAGGCAAAACTCCTCGGTGTTTGTTTCCTGGCAGGCTATATATGAGCGCCTCTTTTGTTGGATCGTGACACACATCAATGATGTGATTGAAGTGAAGAACTATGACACTACAATACATGGGAAAAACACTGTCATTGGTGTCCTGGATATCTATGGCTTTGAAATATTTGACAATAACAGGTGAGCCGTGTTGTTAAAGCACAGTGCTGTGCCTTCTCTTTTCCCAGGTGAGAAAACTCATCGCCTTTTTTCCCTTCTTTTTTTGCAGTTTTGAGCAATTTTGCATTAATTACTGCAATGAAAAGCTACAGCAGCTCTTTATTCAGCTGGTTCTAAAGCAGGAGCAGGAAGAGTACCAGCGAGAGGGAATTCCCTGGAAGCATGTGAGTGATTTGGCAGGGGAGGGAGAGGTCGGTTTGAGGTCAGTGTACCAAAATAAGGCCCAGATTTCAAGTTGCTCCACATGTACGCTCCTGTCGAAGTCGATAGGACATCTGTGTCCACGCCAGCTGTACTGTCAGACTTGCTGTCTGGAAATCGGGCTGTGGAAGGAGCTAACCATTTATCTCACAGCATTTCTGTATTTGCCATGGTTTGGGAAAATAAGTGACTCCAGGTCTGAGTTAAAACATATTGTGGCATCTCTGTGATGCCACACACATCACTGTGTGTTTCTGTTCTGAGAGCAGCTGTATTTTGTCTAGTTGTAGATATTCAAGTGTAAAATTCTTGAGTTCTGTTCAGATTCCTTTCATTGTGCTGGGGATAAGATGCGCAGTTTTCACTGGGGTGACTGTGCAGTTGAATTTTAAAAAACATTTTAAAGTGCATTCTGTAGCAGTTGATTTTTAGCAGAGGTCTCGAGGTTTATGTGAGGTGTTTAGTGTTTAGGGTGGAAAAGTAGCCTGCTTAATTGTGAGTTAGTGATCGACATACTAAAAGCCGATTGCTGTGAACTGTGGGCCCCGTTCTCTCTGTCAGACACATGGCACTGTTCATCGCTGGCCGACACTGGTACGCTCCTTCTTCACTAGCCAGAGTCACAAATATACCCATTCTTTGGTTTGCTTTTTTACAGATTGATTACTTCAACAATCAGGTCATCGTCGACCTGGTAGAGCAGCAGCACAAAGGGATCATTGCCATTCTGGATGATGCCTGCATGAATGTTGGGAAAGTTACGGACGAAATGTTCCTCGAGGCTCTGAATAACAAGCTAGGGAAGCATGCTCATTTCTCCAGCAGAAAGGTAACGTCCTCCTCTCCCTCCTCAAAACTTGCTTCCTTTCCTGTGTGATACCTTTTCTATTTGTTTTAGACTGAACAGAATAAGGAAAAAGACTTGCAGGGGTTGGAATCGTTACATGAAATGAAGTAGAGCAGCTCCTAACCACCGAACGGGCCGTTTGGTGGCCCCGTATCCGGCAGAGGGAGCTGCAGTATGTCCAATGTGAGATCAGTTTTATTCCAGGCATAAAAGAAGCGTGAGCTCGTGCTTTGACATATCATGATGTCATCTGTAACCAATCGATGCGCAGTTTCAACCCACGTGACGTTCTTCCCAAGCTGCTCTAATACATAATGACAGTGAAATTATTCACACTTCTGCTTTATTACAGCACTGTGATTTTGTTTTCTTTTTTCATTGTCATTGGCTACAAAACACGTTCATCTCTGATTGTACCTATGATCATCCAGGCGCCTCGACTTGCGTTGGTTTTGGTACTATGTAAGAATTAAAAGGCTTTATTTATTCCTCACTTGGCAGCATATTGAAAACATGGTCACCAGCCTGATTAATTTGAGAATCTTTTGCGCTGAGGAATCAAATAAGGGCCTTTAATTTATTGATGTCTCTGTACTGAGAAACGTTGCTCAGAATGCTGGTTCCCCCCTTCTCCCTCCCACCCCGGTACAATATTTTATGTAGGTCAGAAATACAAAATTAGCATGGTTGTGTAAGATATGTGCTAAAGGCTGCCTCCAGGGAGGCTGAATATAAACAATAGATCTGGATGTGGCTTGTTTGGGTGAGGATAGGATGAAAATAAACCAACCAGGTTTTCCTCCCAGATGTGGCTTTCCTTAAGCGCCCTTTAGCTGCAGCAGACCTGTCATCTCATCTGCCACATGCATCCTAGTGCATGTGAGAGAGGGGGAACACGCCTTAACCTAGATTTTACCTGCTTAAACAGCAGATACATAGCATGTGTTGAGTAAACTCCCCTGGAAACAAGTATTTTCATGAAGCCTAGTCTGGGTTTCTACATTGTAATGCAAATTGCTTCCTTTAGTAGTAGTAATGATTGTGAATAGTGAAGCCTGGGGGGACGGAGTCTGAAATCCTCTGCAGTGGGGTAGCGTGGGACGTGGTGCGGTTTCTGGAGCTGTCTAGTCAGTAGATGTAAGGAGTTCAGTTTCTGTTCTGTCCTCCGTCCCATGTCTGCTTGTGAAGTGGTTCCGTCATGGAGAGAGCAGGTAGTGCTTTGATACAGTGGGGAAAGCACTGAATTTCATCAAGTATATGGGAGCTTATAAAATGAAAGCGAAAACAAAAATATCTGCCTGAGTCCTTACCTTTAGGAGTCCCTTCACAGCACAGGAAACATTAAAAGAAAATATTGCCAGTTGCAGCATTCCTCAGTAGGGGGTGGCATTGTCAGAAAACTGTTTGCACAGACTAGGAGAGAAACAAGGAATACTGCTATAAATAATGTTTATGGAGGGTATGATGTATCGTCCTGGCTTGCTAATTTCTAGTTTAAATCAATATAGCCTTGAAAAAATTGATCCACAATACTCTCAGCATCATAATTATTTTTCTGTCCCTCTCACGTCTTTGCAGATGTCCTTTACCAGTATCTAAGATACCTTCCTCAGTCCCATCTAGAACTGCTGTAGGAAACCTGAGCTTTCTCAACTTCTTGAAGCTTGAATTAAAACAGAGGACTTTATTTGATTTCATAATTTGCTTTTGTAGACTGCAGTAGTTTTGTCCAGATACTATAAAGTTCAGCATAGATCGAAGCTGTTCCTAAAGAGTTAAAGTACGCATGCTGATACGTTATGGGAACAGCTCCCATCTTTCAGCTGGAGTTAATGCTTCACTGCTCGCCTGTAGAGCGTGTTGCACACTGGCTCCATGTGGATAAGCTCTAAGGGGCTGCTGTGCCCTAAATAGTGGTGTCCTAGTTTGTGTGCTGCATGTCTGAGCTGCTGCTGTCTGCTTGGTTGTCCTGGTGAAAGCCAAACAAACCAGGAAAAATACTGGTGAGCACTTCCGCTATGAGTATTTGTGGCAAAATTTTATGTTCCTGGAGCATGGGTTGTCCTTCTCTGAATTGTCTAATGCTGATCTAGATCTATAACATGCTAACTATTCTGATATTACTTCTCAGCATCACAGGTTCATTTTCTCAGCCTCTTTCAGTTCAGTTTTTCAATTGCTCTTATACTTTCAAAGGATCAAGTGCAGTGATAGCCAGGCTATGAATTCCTAAATCTTCCTTCTCAATGAACTGGTCGTGAAGGGAAGAATATCAGAAGGGCCGTTCTAGTCCATCTGACATAGTATCTTCCAAGACACTGGGCAATAGTGAATGTCTAAGCGAGGGAAGAATATGGAAGAAACGTTAACTTGATGTGCTCCCAGTCTCCAGTGATCTGCAGTCTTCCAATACTTCATCTCCATGTCGCCTGCCATCGTCTCCTGGCATTTCTTTCTTAACCTGAAGGTGCTTGGTTCATTTGGCCCTTCTTCCTGTAGCGGTCAGTCAGCACTGTTGGTGGGTTTTTCCCTTCGTCAGGCTTCTTCCAGTTCTCCTGTGTCCTTTTTGAGATGGAGGGTAAGAAAGATACTTGTTTGGCTTGGGAATGGACAGTTTGGGGCCCATCATTTACTATGAACTTCGGCTGTTCTTGTGTGTATTACTGTATTTTTTTGAACTTCATTTGCTCTTTTTTGCCTTTCCTTTAGCCTCTCAGGTCTTCCTGCAGTCCTTCACAGCCAGCCGTTGTACTTCCCTGAATAATTAAGTACCATCAACAAGCTTGACGACCTTTCCGTTACCCTCAGGTTGTAGCTCATTTAAGATGATGTCAGCAGTGTAGACCTCACTGCAGGCCCCCCCAGGATCCCTGTTTCCAACAGTTATCTCTGAGCACCCTTTCTCTTACCTTTCCTAGCAGCTTAATTCCTTTGAGTTGTTGGTGAGGAGCCTTGTGAAAAGGCTTATAGAAATCCAAGCCGTCTATCAACTGTATCAATATACTTGCTGTTCTTTTTTTTTCTTTTCCTTTTTTTTCCCTAATTTCCACTGATTTGCCAAGTAGACACAAAGTTCAGAGAGAATCACCCCTTAGAAACCCAACAGCCTAGCATTACGTTAAGCCACCTTCCAGTCTCTCCAGTACTGGATGAGTTCGAAGCGAGAAGCTTGTGCAGCCAACTGTGTCCCGCCTGGTAGCAAGTTGCTGCATTATGTTTTTGCTTGTCCTGTACCTCTTCTGTGGACATGTTGGTTTGAGATGTGTGTTTTGGGTGGTTGAAAAAAGGCGTGACATCCTCCATAGCCCCTTGCTGGTGAACACAGCTGCAAAAAGAAAAATTACTTTGTTTTGCTGATATGGCCTCATTTCTTCATTTTCTCTGTGTTCCTGCTACACTTTGGTCATCCATCAGCTCTGCGGACCCTGGCGTGCTTCCTGCTCTGCTGGACTCCTTTGTAACCTTCGGTGTACCTTGTTACTCAGACTTGTTGGTTTCCTCCTTGTGATTTGGTTTTTTTTTTCCCCCAATATATTTTATTTTATTTTTTTACATCTGTTTTGTCAGTTTGAGCCAATCTATTTTCTACTCTTGGGACACAGGTCAAGTTTTTTGGAGGATATTTTCCTGCTTCTAATAATCATAGAATCATAGAATGGTTAGTGCCCTGCAGTTTAACCATGCTAATTTTTTCCTTTATTTTCCCAAGACTTTTGGTGGATAGTAGATATTTGCTCATAGCCCTTGGCGCTTTTAAACAGTGCCCATGCTTCCTGCAAAGATTTAATTCATCTACCTGCCCCTTTTGCCTTAAAAAAAAAATCCTCATTTTTGTCTTGTTCGCCTTTTTTTTTTAATTAAGCTGAGCCTGATGGATTTTTTTGGCTTCTGTTATTCCTGAAGGGATGGGTGTATTACAGCTGCCATGTGGGCGCTTGACATCTTCGTTGTAGTGAAGGAATGAAATGGGAAGTCCAAGCTGCGAGCCGAGGGTCGGAGCTGTGATCACGCTGGGTGGATCTGCAGAGGTGCTCGCTGTTTGAGGGGTCTTAGATGGTCTAGAGAGATTTGGAACGGAATATTCTAACTGTCATAGTTCGATTGCTTCATTTCTTTGCTGAGCAGTGATACTGCAATGGAAAAAAAATATAAAGGAAGACTTAAAAAAAGTCATTGATTAACTGCGAGGTGCAATGTTTCTCTATGTGCACAAATGTTCTTTTTGCATAATGGTGTTTCTGAGATAGTATCAATTTGTAAATAAAACTATAGGCTCTTGCGACTTGATTTTGTACAAATATATGTTCTTTTAATGCATCCATGACAAAATATTATATAGCAGTATTATAACTGGATTTCACATCTACACGTGCGTATATAAAAGTGGAATAACTATAGTTTCCATTTCTGTTTCCAATGCATATTGCTCTTCCATGAAACTCGAAAATCCATGGGTGATGTTTTAATGTATGTGAATTTATTTCAGCTTTGTGCGACTGACAAAACGCTGGAATTTGACCGAGACTTTCGAATCAAGCACTATGCTGGTGATGTGATGTAAGTTTCTTTCAAAAATAAAGTTACGCCTTCTATTTTTGTCTTTTAGCCAGCTTTGAAGTGGTACAATATTTTAATTTAATGCTGCTTCTGGTATGAAGCAGAATAGCTGTCATACAGAATTACAGAGTGCAGCAGTTGCTTATTAATTAAATCTTATGCTGGTTACTTGCTGTACAGAATATGATTTTGTACTTGGAATAGAAACAAAAGGAGAATATGGGGAGGGGGATGTGGGGAGAGCAGTGCTTCAGGGGGAAAAAAAAAAAGAGGGGAAAAGAAAAAGCCAGCACCGTTTATGCAAGAAAGCTATACTGAGCTAATAAAATCTGGTTTAGACATCTGTTTAGTATGATTATATAACTCTCTGGCTTTAAATTCTCAAATCAGTTTGAGCAGACCCAGAATACGGGGTAGTGTTAAACTGCAGTAAATATCGGTGCACGGAGCCTTCCCCGTTCAGGTTGAGAAGTTTCCTGTACCTGAAGCCTACAAAAACGTTACAGTATGTGACAGTAATACAAAGGAAGATTAAGAAGAAGTGAAAGATGCCCATATGTTAGCAACTGTTCACTGGGAAAGCTGTTGTCTGGAATATCACCGGAGTGATTTAATGGTTTAGGATTTGTGTAACTCCCCGTGCCAGCAGAATCTAAAGGGAGTTAATGAGGAAATAATTTAGGATTTCTTTTAACTTGGGATTAAATTTACCCTTGATTTATAAGGGTAACCAGTGTGATCATACTGGAGCCCATTCAGCGCAGCTAGGTTTTGTTCTGGAGCCCTTGCTGAGCAATTGCTGATAGACATCCCTGATTTCAAAGCATTTTGCCGACGAGGAGAAAATACAAGGTGCCTTTTTAGTGGTTGAACCTTCTGCACTGCCAGCAGCTGAAAAACTTAGTAAAAGAAAACTGAAATGTGGAAATATTCACAGATAACATAGTTCAGGCTCAAATCTTACGTGGAGCAGTAAGATTTGAGGGTGGCTCCATGAAGGGATTTGAATGTCGTGGGGCTCTGGAGCCCAGTGCCCGCAGTTCAGCTGTGGCTTCCCGGGGCGGGGGATCTGGAGCTCAGGAAGCACCTGAGTGGGAGTCCCTGAATGGGGAGATTTGGGGCCTTTTCTCTGAGGACAGAGTGCTGTCTGTCTTGAGCCTTGGAGAGGAGACGAAACTCTGAAGCAGAAATCTTTCAGGCTGGTATTTCTGTGGGAACAGAGGAAGGGAAGAGTCCGAAATGTGTGTGTGTGTGTTGATTTCCAAGAGTTCCCTAGTCACTGGTTAGAGACTGCTCTTGATTCCAGGCACTTTCCTACTAGAGAATCTTCCTTGACACCAAGAGAGGGACAGATTAGACCTATTGAAAAATAAAACTCATAGGATTCTGTAGGATTTAACACAATCACATATTCAGAAGTGGAACTCTTGAATTTGGGCCATCTGCAACTTGCTCAAGTCCTGCTAGGTGTCTCAGCCATCATGTTCTCCACCTGCATAGTTCAAAGTTCTTTCTAAAACTAGATGTGTGTTGTTCCTGCACTGGAGCTGGAAAGCTGGGCAGAAGGATCTAAGTCTCACGCAGTGCTCATGCAGCAAATTAGTGATAGGTTGGGAAACAGAGCTGGATTCCCGATTAGCATCTGCTCTGCCTGTAGGAGTGCAAGGATGCTGATTCCACACTGATACCAGCAGCTCACAGGAGGACTTTGCTTTGTAATTAACTCTATTTTCTTCTTTTTTTTTTTCTTTTTTTTTCTTTTTTTTTTTAGTTACTCGGTCACTGGCTTTATTGACAAAAACAAGGACACTTTATTTCAAGACTTCAAGCGCCTCATGTACAACAGGTAGGAATAAAAATACTAATGAGGTGAATTTAAATCTGATTTGTCAGAATCCTTTTTTACAGAGTGGATGCTAGAAGAGACTAACATTTTCACTGATGCTATCTTGACTGTGTGCACAGTGCACGTGAATAAACACATTGCTTTCGGATTTGATTGTTGTATGCTGCAACCCAAAGGCTGTTAGTTTGATTTTTCAGGATAAAGTCCTTATTCTGTACGTGGTTTTGTTCTGATATAACCTTTAAATTACTTAAAGTATTAAAGTGTTTGAGCCCAACTCGTTGCACAATCAAGATAGCTGTGCGGAGATTTGTCATTCACCAGCATTTTGGTGTAAATGTACCATTACTGATCTCTCTTTAATCAATGCTAAAGATATCGAGTTGCATTTGCTCCCCAACAGATACCATTGGCCCCAGCTCGAAAGAAAGTTTAGTGGTGAGGGGAAACATGGGCAAACAGATTTTAATTCTTTTTGTCTGTGCAGTGACATGAAAAGTTGAAACCATGTAGTCAGGTGTTTTAAATACCAGTGAGGCAAGTAAAAGTTGCCTTTGACAAGCAAATTTGAAATCCTATCAAAATGTGGCTGTATATATAAGTGCCCCAGAAAGCTGTTTTCCTTAACAGCTGGCATTAGACATGTTCTCATTCTTTTGTTATTGTGGCCTACCTCAACCTCTTGGAGACTTTGCTCAGAGGTGGAAGTCAGCATTAAATAGCCTGCAGCTGCTCCAACAGCTCTGGTTCCCTGATTTAAAAGCTTGTACAGCTATTAACTTAGTTTACAGCCCTGTCATGTTTACTCTCCCTTGAACAGCCTTGCTGATCATATGTTCAAGACTTCACATTAACCAAAACCCTGCAAAATATTTGTGGTACGGAGGTTTTATTAAATTTAGCCTCTGTTTTCCGTTGTCTCTGGTAAAGACTGTTCACAAAGACCACTTACAGCACAGCGAAGCACGTGACAGATTGGCTGTTAGATTGCTGTAACTGCTTTCAGCTTTTGTCTGTTCCAGAGCTCTTGCCATCCATCATGGCCATTTTACCTCACCTTCAACCCTTCAACAAAATGTAGGCATCATATAAATGTATAAATTATTTTACATATTGAGAATGGTGCAGAAACACAGCTTGAAATCAGATGTCTGTTTCAAGGGAGGATGTTGTGGGCTATGGTCTTACTCTTTTCTGTTTTCATTCAATTCTTTATGTTTGTGCCAGTGAGGCAGACTCTGCTTTTGACAGATCACTTCTACAGGATTTTTACTATCCCATTACTGCACATCTTTATCTGAAGAGGAGGATGTGCTTGTCATATTTCTAGAATAGTCTGTTGTAAGTTTGAACCATGTATTGCTCAAGAGCAAGAGATATTTTGCCCAGGAATGTCGTATTGGTCTGGCTGATACGTTTTGAGCTGAAAACACCAGTAGATCTGGACAGAAGCAAGCTGTTGAACTCTGAAATTAGCAGAAGTGCTGTTAGACCGTGCAATTAAAGAGACTGTCTTTTAGCTCTAACCCTGTGTTGAAGATGATGTGGCCCGAAGGGAAACTGAGCATCACAGAAGTAACCAAGCGACCTCTGACAGCTGCTACTCTTTTTAAGAACTCCATGATTGCACTAGTGGACAACCTGGCATCGAAGGTAAATATTTCTGTTTCAAAATCGCTCCAACTTCTGATTAGTAGGGTGTAGCTTCTCCATGGAGAGACTGCCGCCTTCCTATGACTGCAGTCAGTCATAAAGCCGAGCTGATCGATGGCAGATGAGCTTTGGTTGTGACAGTGGGCAGCTGTGAAAACCTCCTAGGACAGTTAGCTGCCATCCCCGCATAAAGAAGGTGGCTTTTTGTTTCTTCTGTGACCAGTGTATCTTTCATTTGTAGGAAAGCCAGTCTCTCTTAAGTAATAATTATTATATCAAATAAATAATTGTCTTTAACAAAGCTCTTTTGGCAGAGGGCCCAGAGGATGTAGTTTCACAGTGGAGAGATTCTCTTTCTGGCTTTCAATGCCAAGTGACGTCCATGAAAATACAGGCAGACCTGTGTGATTTTCTTCTTTGCTCCTCTTTGCTGTGTCAGAGCATTTATTTTACTAAATAATGAAGTTTTATAGTAGAAGGTATTGCTTTGGTGAGCACTGCTTTGTGTGAAGAAAGGTAGGTAAGGGAATGAACTGGGAAAGGGGCTGTTTGAAGGCAGTGCAGCCGAGAGGGGCTGAGGCGAGCAGTGTGATCTCTCAGACCAGCAGAGATCCATCAAGATCAAGAAATATTTGGGTGTTACTGTTGCTGGGTGACCTTGCTGGACTCCTGGAAAGCAAAGGAAACATTAGTGGCCCAAGATATGGAGGGAGAACGTACATGCAGATGTGGTAAGGCTAGGGAAAGCTTTGTAGAAAGATGATCCTTCTTCTAATAAGAAGACCCTGTGAAGAGCAGAGCCCTGTTTGAATATTTGCTTGGAGTGGCAGCCACACGAGTAACAAAATCTTGGTTAGGTGCTGCATTGTTCAGGGCACAGTCGTACAGTACTGACTGTGCACAGGAAGGGAAAGCTATCCTCACTGGGAAGATTACAAGGAATAACATATTGCTTCATGTTTTCCAGAATTAGGAGCTGAAAACACGCTTGCTTTATATTTTTGAGGTCTAGTTCTGGAGTGAATTTAATCTCCAGCAGTAAATCTGCAGGAGAGTGCGCAAACCTGACCAAAGCTGAGCTTCGGGGCTGAGGAACTAAGCCCCATAGGTCTCCCCAGTCCTGCTTGACTAAGGCTGCTAAGAGGATCCCTTGTTAGCCCAGCTGAAGGCCAGGTCTTGCTTTAGGCAGGCACCATCAGTAGAAATTGAGAGACGTCCTACCCGACCGCCTGTGCGGGCAGAGAGGAGCTTTTCTGGATGGCAAATCATGAGCTGTTGGGGCTGGAGAAGATGGCTGTGACCCTGATGGAAGGGTGACAGACTTTAGTCTGACTTTCCAAGCAATTAAGATTTACCTCATCTGTCAGTCCTCCAAATAATTTGCTGGCTAGCCCTAACCTAAATTTGATATAGAGATGTCAAGAACCCAGAGAGCTTCCTCTGCGTGTTGTGAAAATGAGTAATTGGGGAAGGAAAAAGATTCTGATAGATGCTGCCTGTTGTTAATGCAGTTCTATGTTGTACAGAACAGTCTCGGTGTCTCTTGCCTAGCCAAATGGTGCGGTGTTTCAAACGATACAGACAGAAACTGCTCAGGGTGTTGTAGTGGAGGGCTGTGATCCATGGGGGATAGCAGGGAGCTGTTGGTGGGGAGGTTCGGCAAGCGCTCCTGGAAAAACTTCGTTTGCGTATTTATTGGAAAAATTATTCCAGGCCACCTGGTATTTGCAAGAATAGAATAGTCAAGAGAATTCCGTGCATTGCAGTGGTTTGAACAATTCCTGCGACTCACCGCGGGAGATGAAGAGTTTAAATCGCACTTTATCCATCTTGAGTCAGTAGGTACCAAAATTCATCATCGAAGGCTGGCTGGCATATGTGAAATGAGTTAGTGTCATTCTATTTATCATCAGTATCTGTGCCACGAATGTCAACCTTTTCCAAGGATAGGCCATAACCAGGAATTGTTTCCAAGTCAAAGTTAAGCTCCTGAATTTACTAAGAGGCTCCTTTGTGTGTTGCAGTTCCCATTCGTTACCTTCCCTAAATTTTCATTGAGAAACCTGTATTTAAGATGTTGGGTTTTCCCTGATTTTCTCTTGAATACCAATGGAGGAAGTGGTCTCAGAGCATTATATTTTCCAGAGAGTTATGGATCCTGTTAAAGGGAAGGCTCTCATCAGACAGACATGTTTGTCAGGACTTAACGAGGACCCTGGCCAAGCAGGGAGGAGTCAGGGGCTGTCTGGTTGTGTAGTGTCTTATGGCCAACCTGGAGCGAAGGGGGGTGAAATTTGCCCTTTGGAGTCTGTTGTTTAAAAGCTTAGATGGCTAATGCTCCTTGCAGAACAGTGTTTGTAGGTACTTAAGCTTGCAAACTAAGTTACGTACTTGAACTTTGACTTATTAGTGGAGAGCCTGGTTGTTATACATCTTAAAACCCCCGAAAATTTGGTGAGCCTCATCCTGAAGTTAAGCTTATGTTTACTTTAAAGGGTCTAAATTTTGGGGTGTCCTAGAAAGGAGAGGTTGCTTAGATAAGGGTCCTGAACACAGTCGCTGTGCGCTTCAAACGGTAAAACAGCATGCAGAGAGATGGTGCTTCTGCCTGGCCGTTGTGGCCTCGGGATCTCCAAGGTGACTTTTTGGACAGTTAATAATATGCACATGTTATTAGCAAGCTAAAATCTGGGCATTCAAGCCAGGCTTTGCTAGATACTGGTTATACACAGAGAAATGGGATGCTCTGCCTCTGAGTCATTGCCAGTTTGGATACTTGTCTCTGCTCTCCTACTTCTGCTGGGGGCTGGCGAGCGGGTGAACAGTTGCTGTTTCCGGGGCTGGTAAAACCACCGTCTCTTTTGGGGACACCACTCGTTGCAGTTACGGGTACTGCAATTCTTCCCTTGGGTCCTGTTACTCATTTTTCCCGTGCTTGGGACCGGAGTTGCGCTTCTGGGGATCAACAATGACAACGTCTATGTGTCTGACTGTGGTTTGGACCCTGCAGGAATCTCTTTTTTTTGGGAAGCCTGCGGTAACAGCTGGTGAACACAGCTCTCTGAAAACAGCGTTGCACAAGTGGTGTTAGCTGCTGTGGTCTACGGATGTCAGAGGAATAAGGTTCCATAGGGAGAGGTATTATCAGTTCATGTCTCTCTCAGCTGTTTCTCAAAAAAAAAAAAAAAAAAAAAAAAGAGGATAGACTTGAATTTTGTTGCAGTTTGAGCTGATGATTTATTAACGTTACTGGAGTGTGCCCAGTGTGTAAGTGCAGTCAGTGCTGCTTTCCTCACCCTGTCCCCCCCATTCTACCTGGGCTGTTCTTGCTGCTTTAATGTTTCTCTGTAAACTGCTTTAAACCACATTTCTGCACTCTGTTTCTCAAACAGAATGGTGGTCCAAGAGCTCTTCTTTGTCGATGCTCATTTGGCCTTCTTGGAAAGCAGCAGGTTTTTTGGCAATATCAACAGTATCTTTAAACCTGTCATTTGGGGGAATGGTCTCCAAAAATGCTGATTTGGTGGGCAGGAATAACAATTGCAGAAACAAAGTGCAAAGTCTGTGAATACAGTACCTACAGTGTTAGTTGGTTATTTAACTTTTCTGGCATTTAAAATAACCACCTTGAAAATTCTGGTTTTTTGGTATTCTGGTTTAAGTCTGGAATTTGGTGATGAAGCAGAGTTCTGCGGTTCCTGAGAGGAGGGGGCGGGTGGTGTGGTTATTAGGGTGTCGGATCCTTCCGTTAGGGTGAGTAGCATAAAAGTGTTGTTAACACTGCAGGAGCTGTTCACAAATAGGGTTTTAACTTCAGCTTGTATATGCACGTGTCCTTGCAAGTATAAAGACTCAGGAAATATGTTTTTGGATGCTGAGTTGAAGTGGTGCTTATCAGTAGTGGTATCTCAATAATACTGTAATCCTCCAGAACTGCACTGAGAGTCTTTTGGGCAGAAACCTCTGATAGGAGAAAAAAGTACTTTTTTTTCAACAAACCAACCAACCAAAACAAAAACTGGCTTTACAGAGCTGCTGTGTAATGTTTCTCAAGCACACGTTTTACCCTCCATGCTGTTCTCTTGAGGATTTGGTCTTTCTGTGATGGATTACTTTGGGTGGCTTTTCTTTCAAATACTGACATGGGAAGTCCTTTGGCTGACACGGCTGTAAATGATGAGCTTCTCTAGGAACTCTCTGGACATGCATCTCCTTTTCTTTTTTTTCCCTCTCCTTCTCTGTAACTCCTTTTGTCTGACTCTTCTTTCTTCCGTACCTCTCCTATCCAGGTTGACAGGCTTCATCTCTAGTAAGTTAAAATGTCATCACTGTGACTGATTGGACATATCCAGCACAAATTTGTCAGTCCTGTGTCCAACCCCGTCTCTTGTCTAACAAACTATAAACCATTGAAAAGAAATCTCTCAAGAAGGAGTTTGTTTAGTGTGCTATGACTTTAAACTGGTTTTTTTTAACACTTAAAAATCTAAAAATTGCTCAGCTTGATTTAAAAAAATAATAAATCAGTTGCAATTAGGCATCTAAACAGCCTTCAGAACTGAGACCTTTGTCTCTGTATTTCAGTTTTTCCATTTATAAAATGCAGCTCCCAGGCTTGACAGCCTCATGGTGCAATAATGGGAGCTGCATAATTATCCCCCTGAAGAGCTGAGGCTGGTGGGATTGTAAGCATGGAATAATCTACTTTAGAATTTACCCTAGTAGCTGTCGTTGCTGAGACGCTTTAATTACACTGCAATTGCTCTGATAGATGATCTCCTGTCTGTGCAGGAACTTCCTATTTCTGTTTTCCAAAAGGAAAGCAATGTCTTGATTTCTGCCTTTGATACCAAACGCAGATACAGTCACTCCTCTTTGTGCTGGGCTTGAAGGCACAGATTTTTGGCATTGATGTTTGTTGTGATTTTGAATGGCGAAGACATGAATGACTACCCAAGCAGCCAGCTTTGCAGTGGTGAAGGGAGTTTATATATGAGCAATAATGAATTGCTCTGAACGTCAGTAATGAACAAGTGACACCATTTCCCTTGAGGCAGAGGGGTTGGATGTACTTTCTTGACTTCATACTCCTTAATAACTTCTTTAATTTGGTTCCTACGTTCTCAGGATGTTGCATTTCAGTGGATTGAACGTGGAATATTTGTGATACAGAATCATTTAGGTTGGAAAAGACCTTTGGAAAAGATCATCGAGTCAAACCGTAATATTAATCTTATCAAAGCATTTATATTCATCTTGACATCAGATGCAGCGCAATGGTATTGAGGGCAGATCTGGCATGGTCTGGCATCATTCTGCTGCTAGTGACCCCATTGCTAATGCTGGGGTAGGTCTGTCCTGAAGGGTGACTAATGTGTGGGTGGAGACATGGTCCAAGCTGAATATTAGCAAGAGGGGATGGGGAGAACTGCAGATTGTTCACCGTCACAACTGCAGGCTCTTGCACAGCTTCTAGGCTCAGATGTAATTCAGGGAGTTCTCTGCATAACCTGTATTTTCCCTAAACAGCGTATTTCCAGTCATATAGGAGACTTGTTCCAGCAGAGGAATGACCTCGCCTTTGTTTCTTGCCATAAAACTGAGAGGTTACAATACGGAGCTTATAAATTGCAGGCATCAGGTCCAGCGAACTCCTACTCCTCATCAGTTATAGCTACTGTGAGCATGTCAAACCTACTCCAACACTGATTTGAAGTTCAGAAAGGGCTGCATCTACCTTCGTAGTTTGACACACAATGTCTGAGAGAGCGTGAAGAGTGCTGATGACAGCTGCGTTCCCATGGCACAGCCAAGTTCTACAACTGAAGAAAAATCATCACCCACGCAGATTGCAAGTTCTGAGAGCTGGTAGGAGATTGTCAAGTGAGTGGAGACCCTTGTAAACCTTCTTACCTTCAGTGTAGAGATAATTTTCAGGAGAAAGCCAAAAAAGTTAACATGTAAATCTCTTAAAGCCTTTTAAATTGTACCAGCACATTATATTTCACCGTTGTCTCCTTAAGGAAAGGAGAACAAATAGAATAGGGAAGGGTTGTGTTGAATTACCATGGCAGAAGAAAGTGCTCGGTGCGGTGGTGACCTCAGTAGAAGACCTCACGCAGAGCAGAGCTGTTGCTTGGCTTCCTAGTGTCCTGGGAAAGCCGTGTCCTTAGTGCTCTTTCCTTTTTTTGAGCCCACCGCTCTCTGAGGGTATGAAAAGAAGAGCAGGATGAAGAGAGCACTGTCCTACCAGGGGGCTCAGCCGGTGATTTGGAAGCGGTGCAAGTTTCCCCCGCTGCATGTGGCTTTGCCTCAGTCTCCCTGGTAAGGAAAGGAGCCAAACGGGACTGTGAAAGAGCTGTCCCTGTGGAGAGAGATGAAGTCACTAGGAGAGAAGGGAGATGATGTAAGAACGTATATTGCCCACACATCCTTCTTTTTACCCACGCACTCCCCGTACCTTCTTACGCACTCCTGGGTTGCTGCGTGGAGGGTAGGCAGCGCAGGGTTGCTGCCAGCTCTTGTATGGGTGGTTGGCTTGGATTTTGCTCACCATCCTCGGTGCTGTGTGTTCCTACCCCAAGGACAGCCCTCTGGGAGAAAAGCACAGCCTGATGCTGCTGATCGTGTGCTTAAGAAAGCAGGGAAACGTTCCAGTCCAACACCTTCCTGAGAAGATCCAGTGGCTCGTATCAGTTTCTAGGATACGAGGCTCTGCTCTTCCAAGACCTCCAGATCTTTGCCTGTTTGTTACTCATGTTCAGCTATTCGTATTTGTTCGTGAGTGGAAGCTCCGTGTGCCTGTCATTAGTGCTGCGTGCCTCCGGGTTATGTCAGGACTAGCCAGGATATTCAAGGTTGATCTTGTTTCTTCAATATTACTGAAGGGAAAATAGCAGTTCTGGGCCTTTTGTATTATCCTGAGATTAGGTAAGTGACCTAAAATCAAAGAAAACAGGGCTAAATCATAGACAAATCATAGAAAATACGGCTAAAGGGGACCTTGGGGATGCATCTAATCAATCTCCTGTTTGAGGACACCTCTGCCTTTTCTAGGCAGGTGCTTGTTCGGGCTGTTCCTCTCCAGTGTTGGAGGTTTCCCTCCTTTCTGCACACGTTCTGCTCCCATTCCCTGTTCTCCTGATGCCTACTTTGAATGTTTATGCTGTAGCTAAGGCCAGTCCTGCTTTGTCCTAAAACTGAATATATACTTTTCTTCATCTCTACCCTTGAAGTGTATAAAAATCAAACATTGGGATAGTTATGTGGCTCCTCAGTCCTTCAAGACTAAAAGCATATTTCCTCTGAGTCACATTTTCTGGATTTTTGATCTTGCTTGTTCTTCCCTGAACTGACTCACCGCCGTTTACATCCCATTTGGACTGCAGTACCCCAAACTGAATGTAATGTTCAGATAAGTAGAAATCTGTTGGGGTTTTTTTTGTCTTGCAGTTTTCCTGTTCCTGTGCCCCTTCCTTAGAAAAACATGAGTTTGACTCATCTAGTCCAGAGGAAAATTGCTGAAATTTCATTCTTAATTACTAGTTGTGATTATGAAAGGTGACATCTTTTAATGTTAAGATTTCAGACAGGCTGCTTGGCTGCCTTTATCATAATGTTAGCATTGCTGTAAACTGTTTTTTTGAAATCCTCCAGTTTAGGTGCATCTGTGACGTGTTCTGGACATACTGTGATGTTCTGAGCTGATCCTCATTTGAGTGTTCTCCTTGGCTTAGTGATGAGACCTGGTGGGCAGTCAGCTCTGCCAGCCTGCAGAATATGCCGCTTCTTTTGCAAGGGCTACTTAAAAAAATGTTATAAGAATACAATTTTACCTTGCAAAACTTAGGCATCGTAAAGGCCCGCCTTATTAGTTGCTTCCCCCCCCCCCCCCCAGTAATAAAGTTAAAAGTGGGATAGCAAGGGCTGGCAAAGGAAGAGAAAGAAGGGGATGGACTTCAAAACCCAGTGTAATGAAAGCACATACATTTAAAATCCTTATAGCCACGCTGTACAGGCTGGTGCTGTTTATAGACCGTGTTGACCTAAACGAAGGTTGCCTTTAATCTCATAAAAATAAAAGTAAACTTCAAAACCAGTCCGGCAGAACTGTATACAGGGCTTGTCTCATGGGTGCAGGCGGTGAAAGGTGTGTGACCCTGTGGGACTCATCTGAGTGGGGCAGGACCACCCGGGCTGTGCTGGATGGAGTAAAGCCACCGGTCCCCGTCCCACATTCTCCGCCGCCTGCAAGTCCGAGGTCGTGCAGCGAGAGGAACTCGCATGCTTGTGTTTGTCCTGGGGAAGGTGTGGGGCTTGTGGTGGCGAACCGGGGTGGAAGGCAGCTGGGTTTTGCCCTGCGCAGGGTAGTGTTAGGTGATTTCCATCATTCAAGCGTGTTGGGACAGGCTGTAGAGGACTTAATTCTGTGCAGTTTAAATATTATGGAGTCATCCATGCTGCTTTTAGGTGATACTGGAAAAGCCATATCCAACACTCAGAGCAATGAATTACATTAGCTGTCCTCTCTTTTATGAAGACTATGTTTGTTATTGTCCAAGTCTGTGGAGGAGGAGGGTGTGGAACTGGTTCTGATACATAGCAAAGGACAAACTCGAATGAGTAGCACGTGGATCCTGTAACAGGCATCGTTGCAGTGTGCGAAGGGGAGGATCGTGTTATGTGCCAGTCTTGTTGTTTCTGTTCTAACCTTGTAACGCCCGTTAAGCTTCCAAACCTCACTTAGGTGACTGGGGTGGACTGACACAGTGTTTTCAGGAGAAGGCGGTTGTGTCTGCATAGATGTTTGTCTTTCTGAGTGAAACTCGGTTTGATTTGTCCCCTTAGGAACCCTATTACGTCCGTTGCATTAAGCCCAACGACAAGAAGTCACCGCAGCTTTTTGACGAGGAGCGTTGCAGGCACCAGGTTGAATACCTCGGCCTTTTGGAGAACGTGAGAGTCCGCCGAGCAGGCTTTGCCTACCGCCAAACGTACGAGAAGTTTCTTCACAGGTAAGAAGGGCGCTGGCGAGTGACTCAGCTCTTTGCGGGACAAATTGGACGATGGAATGAGGTGTGTGATCTGGCTGTCTCCCCTTGAGCGAAGAGTAACTCTGAAGTCCTCTGGGCTTGTGATGCTCAGTCCTGAGGTGGTCATGGATCTGATTTAGCGCTTGCTGTTGGGTACAGTAAAACGTGACTAACAGGCACTCTGGTTGTTCTCTGGTGTTGTGGCAGCAGATGCGTTTAGAGGTGTACATGTGGCGCTCGGGCTCAACCTCTGTGCTGAAATTCATTTGCTGTATTACTCTCTGCAGCAGGAACGTGTAATGAGGTTCTTCCCCAGAGCATAACCCTAAAACCAGAACTAATTAACTTCTGTTTTCTCTCTGCACGTTGTCTAATTGTTGCAGCGAGAGAGACAGACAGACGCTGCGTGTCTTGGGAAGTGCTTGATGGCGCACGGTGCGGGAGGAAACCTCTGGGCTTTCAAACTGGAAGTCTGAAAAAGGGATAGTAACATGACCCCATTAAACCATGTTTTTGATACTTCTTACCCTCTTAATTCCTACCAGACTTGTGACAATTGAAATGGTTTAGATTGAAATTGTCTAAATTAGCATAGGTACTAAGAATTCAACCTCTTCCTGATGAAATAGTGAATTGATTTTGACTTCTGTTATTGAATCAGGTGAGAAAAAGGCTCTGAGGGTAGAACAAAAAAAACCTATTCAAGCGGGTGGGATGTCACACGTTAGAAACAAGGTGCTGTTGAAAGATCTTTTGCTGTTCGCAGTGGAGATTTGCCTGGATATTTGGTGATACCTGAAGTAGAATGAAAGGGTCTGGCTTACTAAATACAGCCTACGGTGTTGTGTAGCAGTGTTCTTCAACGGTACGCAGCGGTTAGAGCCTGCTTCTGCCCTCGCATGTGGAATTCGTTACAACTTACTCTTAAGATTTGTGTAATTACTATTAATATAAACAGCTGCTTTGTTTTTAATGAACGTTTGATGAGGTCCTGTAAGCTTAAGAGCAGAAATGGTGTTTACAGCCAGTAAACCAAATTAGCACACGGCAACTGGTACAGCTTTCGGGCTACGGGAACATTTGTTCTGCTGGACCCTGGAGTAGGATTAAACATCTACAGTGTAAGGTATCAGGCGCTGTATTTGCATACCGTGGAGTTGCTCCGAGTCCAGTCTACACTGACTTTTCTAAATTAAAAAAAATATTAATCTTTTGGCTTGGATATTGTTTTTATTTTTGCCAAAATTCTCCGTTCCTTGTCTTTGGGTGAGACATACCCCTCGTAAAGGGGCTGGGGGATATGATTTTTGGTACAAGCTGCACATTTTTTGAATGATTTTAGAACAGGGAGCACAAGGGATTTCTGTTCATTTATATTTAACAGGCTTCTTGGGAGCCTGGGAGCATGGAGGAGACTCCAGGCCCTTCAGGTCGGGACTCTTGCGCTGCCTGTGGGGCTTGTTTGAAGGGAGATCTAGAGTAACTCAGCGAGAGGCGATTTTGGGACACGACTTTGTCATCTGCTTACATTTGAAAAAGATCTTCTAAAAGTTCAGACCCATAAACAGATATTTAACTCCCTTACAGACCCCTGAAGCTTTCAGATTTTCTGAACCTGAAGCAGACACCTGTGTTATGTTTTTTGATGATCCTTCTTAGAGGGGACAGGATATAGAGAGAGATATATACATGAGTGCATGTATGCCTGTTTTTTCATAGATATGTATGTATGTGTGTATATAAAACCTATATCTTCTTAGAGGGGACAGGATATAGAGAGAGAGATATACATGAGTGCATGTATGCCTATTTTTTCATATGTATGTATGTGTGTATATAAAACCTATAAAAAGTAACTTTCCTTTCTGTATGAAAAGTTTGTTGCTATTGAGCCCTAAAATGCTGTAAGGTAGTTGATATCTCATATCTACCAGTAGGAAATGAAGCAAAATACAGTTAAGACCAAGGAAAGCTTGGAAAGGACACTTATGAATGAAATTTAGAAAACTTTTGAGCTCTGTGCAGACCAGTCTGCCCTTACCGATTTGTAGAAAGCAAGAGCTTAATATTCTTTTGTTGCACAAGAGATGCTGTGCGTTCACTTGGTAACTACATCTTCCAGTTGTGTGAAACGCATGTCGGGACCGTGCGTCTTGAATACATGCGATGAGTTCTTTTGTTTCAATATATAACTTCCTATCAAAAAAAAAAAAAAAAAAAAAAGGCGGCGGTTGGGTTTCAGAAAGGGGCAGGGGGAAGAACGGCGCCTGCGAGGCGTCTGCGGGCATGGCTGCGTGCGAGAGTAATCCAATACTCGCCGTGAAGGCATCCACATGCCTATTTGCAGGCAATGTTAAACATAGCACGTAAACGACACCGAGATAGCTGTGAACTGAGAAACGTATGGCCCTGCTTCACGTGCAGACCCGGTATTTTTTCAGTAAAGCTTCATAATGTAGCGACTCGCAAAAATCTTGCTTCTTAGGAGAGCTGTACTGGGAACTGTAAATTCTAGTAGCAACCTCATGTGTTCTTTGGAGGAGAAGAAGGAGAAACAAAGGTGGTGTAGGAATGGATGTTTAATGTAGAAGTGACCTTGGAAGCCGTCGAGTTCTCCAGGCAGGAGCGGGGAAGGGTCGCGGTGTCACTGAGCGGATGTATTTTGGGTTCTGCCTCGCTATAATTAGCGGCGAGGTCGGGATTTTGACTCGTTGTGACATCCAGGTCGCGCGCTGTGCTGCGGGGAAGGAGTTTGTGGCATTGCACCCCACGTGCCGTGGGAGCAACCGAAAAACAGAAGGGCTGCCAGGGTATTCCACCGCTGGTCCCACCGCCTGTGGGCGAGGAGGGAGGTGGTCAGTTTGCCTTGGGATGTCTTTAAATACCCTAGCCCTGTCTTTGTTGTAAAGGAGGAAGAGAATTCAACGGTTTTTGGACAAGTTTTCAGTTCTCTGACATTTATCCTTTTTTTTTTGGCCCTGTCGGCGGAGCAGGCCTGTTTAATAAGCGTGGGTTTGCACTGCCACCCTGGTTTTCTTTCTTTTTTTCCTAGTGTAAATGTCTCGAGGTGGAAGATTTTCCCAGTGAATTAATTATTGCGGGAGCATTTTCCTGATGAGAATAGAAAAGAGAAATCAGTGTAAAATATTTATGTCCTGTGTGTACGTGTATTTGAGAGAAGGAATGCTTTTGCCAGCTAAATATAAATGCAAAATGCTTTGTGAGTCTGAAGAGGGATTTTTTTTTAATATACCTCTTTTATTTATCAGTAAGATCCCTAGTCTGCGTGCTGTAACCCTCACACTGATGGTGTTCCCTGCTTAGACACAGTGCGTACCTCCATATTTTTTTTCCCTCTTCAAGAGCCTATTCAGAAAGGCTAATTTGATGAATGAAAGCGACAGTGTGATGTATTTCCATTCAGGCTTATTTTAGTCTGTTCAGTAACTCCTGCAGTGCACCCACTCCCCAGTAAAAAGGTTTATTGCCGCATCCATTTAATAGTAGCTGAAAATTCTGAAAGTCTAAAACATTGAGATTGATGCTTGACTTGGATCGTGGGCTTTTAAATAGAGAAGTGGTTAAGATTGCTGCATGCTTGTTTTATTTAGAACATGAATGCGGGTACTATTACAGCGAAAACGTGTATTACATTTTTGGTTATGTCCATAAATCTTACGCAGAAAATTCATTGTTGCTTTTTGCAAACGTCTATTCACCTAATCAGCACTTTGCAAGGATGGTAACTCTTACCAAGAGCAAAGTCTGATGCAGTTATTTTCGTATTTGATTTGTAGTTGGCTTAGCTCCAATCTGCATTCTCTCTCCTAGTGTAAAAAGGAGTTTGGTGAGTGAGGATGGGAGGGAACGACTGAACAACGGTTACAGGCAGTGGCAGTGTTTGCACAAAGTGTGCCATTCAACTCTCTGCTACTTTGGTAAAGAATAAAATCTGTTAGAAATGACAACCAAAATGCTGGACAATAACGTAATTTGCAGAATTTTTAAACCTGGCTTTTCTGATAAAACAATTGATTACAGCTGGCTTCTTACGCAGACTGTGAGCAAAACAAAGCTTTTCTTCCTTGCAAAAAAACCCCCCAAAAAACCAAAAAAAACCCCCCAAAAAAACCCAATTTGAAGTTGAGTGCTGAGAGTGTGAATGATGGAACTGCCAAACCTGCAGGAAGACAGTGGGGAGATTTGTTGTGGTAGTGAAGTGAGGTCTTCACAATAATTTTTTTTTTTTATTTTTTTTTTTAGTGGCCCACAGAATCATACCTCTGTTGGATTAATTTTCCTTGCATTTTGGATTCTGAGGATCACTATTCCTACACAGGATGTCTGAGGCAGTTCTATCTATAATCACATAGTTTTATTAGAATTTAGATGATAATTATTTCTAAAACATTTTGAAGGTTGGCCTTCTTCAGAACCTAGATGACAAGTTTACATTTGCAAATTGTACCTTGTAATTCCAGGTACAAGATGATCTCGGAATTCACTTGGCCAAACCACGACCTCCCTTCAGACAAAGATGCTGTGAAGAAGCTCATAGAGTGTCATGGGTTTCAGCATGACGTCGCTTACGGCAAGACCAAGATTTTCATCCGCACGCCTCGAACTCTGTTCACCTTGGAAGACCTCCATGCCAAGATGCTCGTGAGGATTGTCCTCTTCCTACAGAAGGTAAAGCTTAGTTTACTGCGTTAAAAACTCAGTTCGAGTGTCTTAAAACACCTTTGCTGTTTTTTCAGGCTCACTTGCAAAAGCAACAAGTCTGCACAAACTCCAGCATAATGCAGTTTGATTACGGCTTAATTTTTTTAAAGCTCTTTCAGTAGTGCTCTCTATAGCTGCATTGAGGACTTGATGTGGTGGGATGTGCTGTGAGCTGCAGGACCTATAAGATTGTTGAATACTGTTTAAAAAAACTTGCTCTTTACTCAGGGAAAGTAGGCTACCTAGAAACTGAGAAGAGTTTTTATGGACAACTCTATAAATGTGCTGCACAATGGATGTTGAGACAGGCTTACATGCATAAAAGTTGATTAGTGGATCCGTAGCTGATGGTGTACATCAACTCTAATGGTAAAACTCTTGGTGTGCAGGGGAAGGAGTGAGGAGGGAAGACAGAGTGAGAAAAGGGACAGGGAAAACTCTTCCCAGTGGCCAGCTAGGAAGAGAAGAACAGGCTCCCTAAATGAGCACCCTCCCAGAGCATCCTTTCTGGTGCAGCACGTCATCTCCCTCATCATACTATTCCATTAGTAATTACTGAGGCTTTATCAGGACCTGCGCAAAATCCCTATTGTTTTTTCTTATGATATCGTTAGTGCTGACGAACATACAATGATCAGAGCCAGATGCTCATGCATATTGGTTTATTAAGCTTTGATCATCCATGTTATTGAGTGCCCTAATGTACACGAAAAATTACAGCTGAGGGATACAGAAAGAAGGGGTGGTTGGCACACTGGCAGCAATCGCTTCCCATAGGAACCTGCTATAACGTGCAATATCGGGGTTTGCGGGTGCAAGCCTAGGAGAGGTACAGCACAGGATCAAGGGAAAACACTGCTGCAGAGGCTCTGGAAACCACTGCCCCAGCAGCAGAACAGAAACTAGAAGGCCCTTAGCATTACAAAGGGTGAGACACCTAAGGCGCTGTGTAACAGGACCTTTCCTCTCTGAACATGGGATTTGAGCTTGAGATCTTTCTGGTTTTACCCTTAGGATAAATAATTTTACATTCTGTGACTTCAGGGCAAACACATTCTCAGACGTTGCTTACGAAGGTACTCTTATAAGCCGTGGGAGTTTGTTGTGACTTGGCTAGCTCCTAAATCATTTAGATGCTTTTTGGGGCCACAACAACGCAATAGAAGCTGGTTTTGTAACCGCAAAAGCAACATACACCAGAGGAGAAAAAAAATGCAAGAGCTGGTTTTAGTACTTGCTGAAAACGGTGTGCTGTACGAGTGTGATCCGTCTAGCAAAGAGCAACAGCTTCTGAATGCCACAGCTGCAGAAATGGTGGAACTGACTTTGTCTGAACTGGCAGGGTTTGTTGACCTGTTCAAGATTTTTAGAAATGTATTTCTTAAAATGTGTTTTTCCTTTGTCATTCTTGGAACTCGGGGAAACGAGATCTTCTGAAACCCTTTTTGCCTGTCAGAAATAGAAACTGCTGACAGATGGGTATAAAAACTGCACAGAGAAAAAGCCTGCTGTAAAGCTATGCAGTTCACGTAAGTTTGCACAAACTTTCTAAACCTGGTGGACTGAACCACTTTTGGTGAGGAGTAACAAGACCCTGAAGGAAAAGTTACCCACTGCAAGCTTTAATAGTTTTGCAAAAACACGTTTCTTGCGTTTTCAACGCATTTGATCTGATTCCCCTTCTGGAAAGCAAAACAATTTGACCGGAATGGAAGGAGAAAGCATCAAGTCCAGGGTTGCGTCTCTGTTAGTATTTGTAATGCCAGATTGCATGGTTTATCTTCAGGAAGGAATTTTGTACGTTTTGTGTATATGTATGTGATTAGTTTTTCTGGAAATGCAAAGCTCAGGCTGCCTGAAGGATGCTGGACCTGCCTGGTTTTGAGCTTTGTGGTTCAGTGTTTTTTTCCGTTTTTTAACAGTGTTCTGAGGAGCTTCACAACAACTTTCTTGCACTACTTGTCATCTTCTTCCAGGCCTCTTCCCTGGAAACGTCAGCATAACTTTTCCAAAAGCTTATTCTGGCTTATTCTTTTGGAGTGAAATGGGGCTAATCTGCGGGGCCCCTCTCGTACGCCTCGGTCAGGTGTTTCTGGATTATTAGTTGCACTCCCACCGTGCTCGCCCTGGTTTCTCGGGAGGAGTTTCCCTGTCTGCAGCCACTTTTCCAAGCACATTGGGCTTGCTTGGCGCATTCAGCGAGTTCACTGGGTCGTGCTGCTAATCTGGAGTCTCTCTTTCTTCCCGTAGTGGTATAAGGCAAGCTAACGAGTTCTTTGTTGAACAAAGCTACCGGGGGGACACCTTGCTCCCGGGTGACCCGAGTTTTCATATTAAACATCTGAGGAATGGAAAGGTGGCCTTTTTTGAAATTGAAAAGTGCAGTTACTGAAGAATAATTTAAAAGACCCGGTCTGTGCTGTGGAAACAGATGATGTCTCACTGCAAGGTGAGCACTGAAGCTCCTCCTTCAGATAAAAGCCACCGAACAGCGTGAGGCACAATTTTGACAGCAACATATCCATTTTTGTGAGTTTTCTGGCCTTTTCTTTAGATGGAAACTTTAGAATTATGTAGTCTGGGCTGTGATCTGGACTGGGCTCGACAACCTTGGAGGGAGAGCAGGGCTAAAGATCCTTTTATTGCCTCCAGAAGGTAAGTACCTGGTTAGGAGTAATGGGTCAGCTCCCCGGCTCTGTGAGGGATTTTGCTGTAGTGGGTTTGTGTGGCATCAGGTGTGCCGGATGCTATATAGAATAACTACAGTGCTTTTGGGATTGCTCTTGTTGCGACAATCAGCAAAAGTGAGAACAGTTAAATTCCCTACATGTTGTCCTATGGCTTCACAAACCTCCCTCCCCTATCTTCTCCTCTCCCTGGAGTGGAGAGGGACTAATACAAGTCTACACGGAGGCATCTTTCTCTTCTGCACTAAGTACTGAAATAGGACAGGTGGAGTTGTCATCTTGTTATTTCTCTCTGAGAAATCTCTGGTGAGATTCTAATTTACCTAAGAAAAGATTTGTGGGGAAAAGACAAGCTCCTGGAGCTTCACCCCGCTGTGGTTCATCTGTATCTCTGTTCATACTTACTGGATGTTCTTCAGCCGTGCTCCAAAATGCTTGCGAAGTGGTGGAGAGGAGCTCTCTAGAGTCCTGGAACTTGCAACTAAAGACAAGAAACACGAATGAATCTAAATGCTTACTCATCAACGAAAGAGCAGGGGTTGGGTTGATGTCTGTAGGTATGTGGTGAGATACCTTGTGCAGTGTAAAGCTGTCTGGGAAATGCTTGAATTTTCCTTCCATTTTCTATATTTCTCTTGTTTTGCTGTTAGATCTCATTTTCCGTATCAGATCACTCCTGTGTTCATGCACCAGCCGTGCTCTGCCGCCAGTAGATGGGGCAGTTGGAGACTGGCAGTGCTGAAAAAGGAACAGTCAACACAATAAAAAATAAAATCAGACTAAGGATCCGAAGAGGCCTTCTCTATACTCGGAAAGCATCAAGGCAGTTTTGCTTGTATCTTAATTTCTGTTCTCAACTTGCTTTCAATTGTTCATATAAAGCTCACAGGAAAATGCAATATTTGCTGTGTTTTCCTTACTTTAGTTTTGTCTCTAAGAACTAAAGGCGCCAAGTAAGGCAAACTGTGATACTTCTGTGAGTCACAAGATTATATCTAAAAGGAGAGATTAACTTGATTTAAAAAAATAATAATAATAATTGAGCCTTCTGTTGCCTTGGAGTTCCTCAAATTTGAATTTGGGAAAAGGAAAAGACAACTGGAGATAAAATGTGTTGTTGTGACAATAGGCGCTTGTGTGATAAAAGCTGACAGAAAATGTAAGGTGTACCCTTAAAAGCAGCCGATCGCAGGCTGGGGTCCAATAACATGTTTCTTTGCCCAGGAATGCTTTTAAATGAAAGAAGGATCTGCATATAGTGCATGTAGTGATTCTGTTTCTTGGTCTTTGAATGTACGTCTTCATTTCTAATGACCTGTATTATGTGGTGTATTGCTCTCATACAAATCACGGGACTTTCAAAAAGAGATTCAGTAATTATCTTAAGAGCTTTGTCACGTGAGTAACCCTTAACCCTTAAAATAATGCTGGTTCCTTTGTTTAGCAACGATAAGAATTTGCTTTGTAGAGTTTGGTTAAATTGAATTAAAACTGACTTCCATTTTAAGTAGATAATTTTACTTTCTTTTGTTCCATCTCTCCTGGATGTGTCTTCTCCTTTAGCTTTATCTTCAACGCTCCTTTTTTTTCCTGTGATAAAATGTTAGTGGGATTCCACGCTGTGATTTTCCTTCAGACCCAACCAAGTCATAGTAAGCAGATGTGATTTGATGTGATTTAGCCGTGGCAACTTGCTGGCTCCAGGAGAATTTAGCGAGGGAGAGCCGTCCAGTATTAGAAAACCCATATGGCAGTGGAGACATCACTGTCGGAGTCAACTCAGACGGTAATTTTAGAACATCACTTCTTTTTATGTGGTGCATCTGAGTTTATTTACTATACCTGTGGTCTTGCCATCTCTATGATTGTCTTCATGAATGCAAATGGAGCAGCTCTAATGTTAATAATAAAAGTAAAAAATAAAATTTAAAAAAGCTGCCATAAAACCCCATTGCTTTTTCTGCCCTTGGAAACATTCCCACATATTCATTAGCTTTGCAGAATAGTGCTTTGTTCAAGAAAAAAAGCCCAGCCAGCCAGCACGTGCGGTATGCAAAGATGATGTATCTTGTCAATATAATTTAGTGCACTATTTCAGTGTAATTTTATCAGACCAGTACAGCTGCATATGGTAATCGCTTCACTAAATCTTTACTGCCTAATGCAGGGGAAGCAAGAATTGTTCTTGTATTGCAGCCCAGCACCTCCTCGGACAAAAATCCTCGTGCGCAGAAGCCCCCTAAGCCCAGGAGGTGAGCGCGGCTGGAAGGAGGCAGCGCC